ATGGGAGAATGTGCTGGATCCTCTTATCATCCCCACTTTACAGGTGAGAAAAGGAAGCTCAGAGAGGTTAAGTAACTTGCCCAAGGCCACACAGCCAGCAGGCGACCGAGGCAGAGTGGAAACCTAGGCTCCTTGACTGCATTGCTTCCGTTTTCATTGACTGCTCTATCAAAGGTCTTGGTTCTTTAATTCCAAGACTGAGAAGCAGTGGCAGGTCGGAGCTGCCTTTCCATGAGACGAGGAAGGCTGTGCATTAAGTGCGTAGGCGCTTGGTGGTGGTGGTTTTGGACACGAGTTTGCCACGCTCAGGGGGCGTTCACGTGGAGATGATGAGACCCAGGAGGACAGCTGGAAGCGGCAGCCGGACATTTAAGTCTGGGCTTCGGGGGTAGGTCTAGGCTGGAGATATGAATTTAGGAGTTGTCAGCAGATACTTAGATTTAAACCCGTGGGCCTTGAGGGGGTTTCCAAGCGAGGAAGAAAGGGTGGTTAGAGAAGAGGGCTCAGAGCTGAGCTGTGGGGAGGGCCAGGCAGGGGTGTGCGACCTGTTGGCATCTCCGTGCCCCGCTGGAAGAAGAAGGGTTGTCTTGGGCCACACGTTAAACACACTGCAACACGTACTCACACACACACACACACACAAATCTCATAATGTTTCAAGTAAATTTATGATTTTGAGTTGGGCCGCATCCACAGCCACCCTGAGCTGCGTGCAGCCCGCGGGACACAGGCTGCACGCCCCTGATTTAGAGGGTCAGACCCGGCGAAGGAGATACGGGAAGAGCACCCAGGCAGGTGGGAGCACCTGGACACCAAGTGAGGGGGATGTTTCGAGAAGGAGGCCACCCCCCACCACCGCTGTGTCAGATGCAACCAGCAAGTCCAGAAGGGTAAGGACGAAGGCGTATCTACCTCGGCAACCGCAATGAGGGGTGGGGGAGGTGCAACATGGCGGCGACTTTGACAAGAACTATTTTTTTTTTTTGGTCGGGGACAAAAGCCTGAAAGCAGTGTGTTCAAGACAGAAAATTAGAGGAGGAAGCAAAATCACTGAGCACTTTTCTTCATACGGGTAGTCGGAGCGAGTTTGCGGATCCGTGTGCTTATTGCAATCTTCCTGCAGGAAATCACGCCTCTTCCTAACCTGGGTGATCTTTGAAGGACTAGGGTGATCATTTATCTCCCAAATGCCTTGCATGAGGCTGGTGTTTACATAACAACTGCAGAGTTTAATTAAACGTTGAAAAGAAAGGCAATGTTCCTGCTTCAGTCTCACCAATCGGGGCTTGGCAACACTTGAGACGCCTCCTCCTGCCCCCAGCACAGAGACACTTCTGGAAGCTGGGCTGACAACAGGAATTGAGTGTGTGTGTGTTTCACCAGGAAAGGTCACAGTTTTTCATTTGTGTGTGTGTGTGTGATGAATCGTCAATGAGCACCTCATCGCTCTGGTTCAGTTGTTGAGAGGAGAGAAAAATGAAAATCTTCTCCTCGCCAGCGCGTCGGCCCGCGTGAATCACGGCGCAGTGAAACCTTTCAGGCATATCATTTATCTTTTCTCTGGCCCACGTCGTAAATGCTTCATTTGTTCATGAATTCTGGCCTTGTTTTAATTACGCTATGCCCTGAATGTGGTTTTCTGTGGCACAAAACTCAGACTGTCGTTCTGAAAACACAGAAGATTTGTGTGCACCCCCCTGCAGGCTCCCCCCGCCCCGCCCCGCAGAATGAAACGGTGGCATCTTTTTCCCAGTTCACAGCTCTGGGGGGTTGTGGTTGGAGCTCCGATCCAGCAAGGGGCTGGGGGCATGGCTTGTGTGGGTGGGTGGGTGGGTGGGGGACAGCTGACACGGCTCAGCCGGGGGCATCATTTACTCCCAGGACTCTGAATCAATACACTGATGGCCATTTAGGCTACTCCCACCAAGGAGGCCATTGATTGAGGAGTTTTATTCTTGTTTCTTTCTCAGGGCTGGACTCTCTCATTACACTTAGAGAACAATCGATTTTTTTGTTGTTGCTTGCTCCAGATACACAACAGTGCAGCCAGAAATCAGATGAGAAAGCTTAACAGTCAGAAGGCTAGGGTTTTGTGTGTGTGTGTGTGTGTGTGAGAGAAAGATCTTTGCAGACATATGTATTTGCATATCCACATGTTCATAGACCGAAGGAAAAAAATGAATGGCTATTTCATAACGTGTCTACGTTTTCTATGCAGAGTACAGAGTGGGCACTCAGTATTTCGAATCCCAATGAGACTACCAACAAAGAGTGGAAATTGCTCGTGTAACAAAGACAGATGCAAATGTTGTTAGTGACTGTCAGGGGGCTAACCCGCTCACAAAGGAAGACAAGGGACAATTTCGGGGTCTTCTCGGAGGTTCCTGGAACTCGAACACATCGCTTGTGGGCTTGGCTCTATGGGGTACTGGCCCTGCTCCCAACGGAAGCTCCTATTTTTCTGACCCCATTCTCCTTTTGAGGCTCCTGCCACTCAAATTGAGGTGCTCCCCCTCAGAGTCTTCAGTTTAAACAGGGAAAGCCGAGTTGATAAAGCACAACTTGAAAACATCTTTGCGCTTTTCTGAACGTGGGAATGGATTGAGCACTTGGGGGCTTTATGGTGAAATTACTCGCATGCGAGGCTTGGTTATTACTTGCTAGCATCATTTAATTCATTAAGAGGGAGGTTTGGATGAGTCACGAGACACCTGTCCGGAGCTGGGTCTCCCCACAAATAACTGAATCTTTCCCTAAGTCAGGCCCTGGGTTGACTCCGGGTGCCCATATGCAAAACGTGACAATTCGCCGGGTCTCAACCTCGGCATGGCCTTGGGAGCTCATGGCCCATAATGCGAACTCGGTCCGAGTCTCCCCACTCGGAGTCAAGTAGTCCCTAGTTTCTCAGATGTTTGTGAATATTGATAACCAGGTTATAGCCCCCAAACAAGGAGCTTTCTGCCTCGGGTTTACACCATGATGGAATGTTCCCTGGACCAGTGAGCCGACCTCTCCGCTGTCTGGGCAGCCTCTCCAGCACATGCCTCACCCCCCGCCCCTCCGCCAGTAGAGCACATGGCACCTTGCATAATAATTGTGGGTTTTTAAAATTCCTCTTCCCTGCTGGACTGCACACTCACTGAGGACAAGGGCACTCTGTCCTGTCCTGGCTTCACCCGTGTGTGGCTGTGCCACACTTTTTTTTTAAAATCCCAACATCCTCACCTGGGGATATGTTTATTGATTTTAAAGACAGAGGAAGGGAGAGAGAGAGAAACGCTGATTGGTTGCTTCCTATACACGCCCCTACTGGGAATCGAACCTGCAACCTAGGTGTGTGCCCTGACCAGGAATCGAACCCACAACCTCTTGGTGTACGGGATGATGCTCCAACCTACTGAGCCACACCAGCCAGGGCTCAGCAAAGATCTGATGCTTGAATGCATTGAAAAACTTACTTTGAACTACATAGAAAGCAATTCAGTTGGCTCCTGAGTTGGTGCCTTTGGGGAAGTGGCCCCTGGAAGGGCAATTTCTTAAAATTTTGAAGGGAAATTTGAATACTGAATTTCCTGGAGTCACATTTTACAAGAACAGCAAGAATGGCTGATGGTAACAACCTCAATACAGGAGCCTAATGATCTTTTCCCAGGGGTAACCGTTCAGGATTTTGAGCTGGTGTCTGACACACACCATATAATTCTTGACACCACCCTAGACGCACGGAAACCACAGAGTAACGTGACGATCGTCTTCCTTAAGAAAGAAAAACCACACCCTGGCTGGCGTAGCTCAGTGGATTGAGCGCGGGCTGTGAACCAAAGTGTTGCAGGTTCGATTCCCAGTCAGGGCACATGCCTGGGTTGCAGGCCATGACCCCCAGCAACTGCACATTGATATTTCTCTCTCTCTCTCTTTCTCCCTCCCTTCCCTCTCTAAAAAATAAATAAATAAAATCTTTAAAAAAAAAGAAAGAAAAACCTGTGCACGGCCTCTAGCACAGAGCCTGCGTGCTGTAAGTGCTCAGTGACGGACAGCCGGCATTCCGTTAGCAGTTAGCTGTTATTAAGACAAACACATTAGTAATCAGGACACACGGCCACGTCATAAAAAAACTCAGTCCATCTAATTTTTTCCTGGCTCTGACCTCGACTAGAGGCACTCGATTCTATCCCAAGGTTTGGGAGAAAAAAATAAAACTGTTACTTAAAAGTCCGTTAACTGAGGAAACGAGTGCCTTTAAACACCGCGTATTAATTTTTATTTCCTTCTTCACTCAAGGGGCTCCCTTCTTGGCCCCGAACACAAACAAATCTTTTCATGGTTAAAAGCAAGCACTCTTTTTTTTTCAGATCAGAAGAACTTGCCTTTCTTTGTACAGGCGGAGAGAGTGTCAAGAAAAAACACAACCGAACCTGGATCCCTCCCTAAACCAAAATCTAGTTTTTCAAAGGTGTTACTCCAGGTTGTTGGAAAATCATTAGGACATAAAAGAGTCTGCCCAGAGCTGTAAAAAACTCTTTAATTTAAACCCACCCTTTCCTGCAAAAGAGAGTTCAAGATCAATCCGGGCTATTCAAAGGAAGCAGCGAAATGTGTTGGAGGGAGACCTTCAAACGCACCGGGTGTCAGACTCGCCGCTGAGGCTGGGCAGTGGCTCGGTCCTGCAGGAACCGTTTCTATCCTAATGCCTTCCCCTCCCCACCCCACTGATCACAGAAGCAACCTGTCTGGCTGCCCCTTTGATAAATGGAAGGATGGATTCATCTGTATGTACAGCCCACCTCCTCCCGCCTTTTACGTGAAACAGATGCCCCAGCTGGGGCTGTTCTGCGAACAGATGTTTCCGCCCGGCGAACCACGGGGAGGCAGAGGATGCGCCGTGGCTGCAGAAGCACTACGTGCCATGGTCCCCCCCCCTCTCCCCCCCATCCCCGCCGGCCCCCCTGAGCTCGCATCAAGGACACGGACGACACGGGTTGCCCCCGGCCAGCACTTACCCTCTGTGCAGGGACATCGTGGCACGGCCCGGGGAACCCGGGAACGTGGTCGGCCGGGTCCTGCTGCTCCCCGCGCTGGGCTTCCTGTTGGCTGGCGGCCGGCGCCTTTTCCTGTCCCTTGTCCAGTTTGAAGAATTTGTCAAAAAAGCCGGCGTCCTTAGGCTTGGCGGGGGCCGCGCCCCCCGACTCAGGTGGCGGAGGCGCGGCGGGTGCGCAAGTGGCAGAGAAGCCGGCGGGTTGGGCGGGGGCCGCGCCAGGGGTTTTATCCGGGCCGAGGCCCTGCGCAGCTGCCAGTGGAAGGGCCGCCGTGTCACTCGGGCCTTTGTTCCCCGGGGCGCCGCCGGAGCTGGCGTCCAGCTTCCCTCGGGCGGCGGACGAGTCCGCGGCCCGGTCTTCGGTACGCCCTGGTACCGGCCGGGAGAGCGTCAAGAAGAAACGCGATTTCACAGCTGGGGCCTCGGCGCTGGCCTCCTTCCCAAGACTCTTTCCGTTGGCAGCCGCGACGGCGCTGCTGTCCGCGGTCTTGGGGGAAGAAGTGGCCGCACTGTCTTCCTTGACACTTATCCCCAGATCCACTGTAAACACAAACATCAACGGCGGTTATTCAGCCACGCGAGGGAAGCTCAAGGAGGGATAATGGACTGCAAACGTTTCCTGCACAAAGGCCACCATGCACACTGGGACCCTTGTTCTCCGGCCACCCTGCAGAGCAGAAGGTGGTTCTAGACGTCTCTGGACCCTACTCTTCTCGAGAGAGAGGAGCAGACGGGTCGTGAGGAGGAAGGCCAATTATCGGAAACCACGCACCAGGTGCTGCATGTGTGATGTTTGTATTAATTATCTTTGCAGGAGTCCCATCACGAACCAAGTGTCAGGAATTCAATTTGGGAGCTTGGGGTCTGCGTTGGAGCAAGGTCTCTCAGCCTTGGGACTCTCGGCATTTGGGTGGGATCCTTCTCTGGTTGGGGGCCCCCTCTGGTGCATTGTAAGGGTGTTTATCAGCACCCCTGGTCTCGACCCACCAGGTGCCAGCAGCACCCCCAAACTGTGGCAACCAAAAATGTCACCAGACATTGCCACATGTCCCCTGGGAGGCAAAAGTGACTCACATTTGAGAACCGCTGAGTGAGAACATCTGTGAATCCAAGTTATTCACCTGTTTAGTGCCTCAGTTGTCTGGTAAAGCAAGGCACTTCGTTGGGAAGATTACAAGAGTTACTATCCTTCTTGCCCTCGCTGGCGTAGCTCAGTGGATTGAGCACGGGCTGCGAACCAAAGCATCACAGGTTCGATTCCCAGTCAGGGCACATGCCTGGGTTGCAGGCCACGGCCCCCAGCAACCACACATTGATGTTTCTCTCTCTCTTTCTCCCTCCCTTCCCTCTCTAAAAATAAATAAATAACATCTTTTTAAAAAAAGAGTTACTATTCTTAGAGCACATGGAACAGTGCCTGGGATATAATCAGGGTCCGGTCCGTGTCCCCACTGCTAGCTATCGGCGTTACTCGTGAATGGGGAGATGGATAGCCCCCGGAGAGGCTGGGCTGGCCCCACCAACTGCCCAGGAAGCTGGGACGTAGCAGAGTCTGGGTGCAGTTAGAAATCTGTTGAGAATATGAAAGATTTAAAAAGGAGAGGCTCAGAAAGTTTCTGTTGTGAAGGCTGGAAGGACAGATGGACACACAAGAAGGCAAATGAGCCCCCGGGCCCGCCTGGAATCAGAGGCAGACTGTGTGCTGCCCGAGACCGTGCCTTCTGCGAGGGGACCCCGCTCCCAGCCCTCACCTGTCGTGCTGTGTCCCCTGCACGGACCTAATTCCACTGCCTTCTGCTCTGGGTCCCTTTTATAAAGCAGAGCGATATTCGGGGGGGGCGGAAAAGAAGACATGCCACCCATTTTGGAACCACGGTGAAAGATCAAGATTTTTTCTGCTGAAAAATTGCGTGACCTCGGCCCGGTCACTGAACATTTTTTGAATTTCCTCAGAGGAAAAATGGGAATAATAGGTAGCTCCCTTGCAGGGTTGTCGCGACGTTCAGAGGAGAACACTCTTGCCCAGGACCGGCACACTGCCGTTTCCACCGTGGGCTGTGAGAGGGGACAGGAACTGGGATTGCTTTTAAGGGTTCTCCCACGCCTTTGCCAGCAGTGCATTCTGCTTTCTACGCTGTGGACGGCTACTTCCTCAGGTCTTTGTGCGGGAAGACAGAGAGAAAGGGGGGGGATGGAGGTTTCTGTGGGTCTGCCCATACTGTTCATTAGTTGGAGTGAAAAATACACACACACACACACACACACACACACACACATATCCATCCATTAGCGATTGTTTTGGCCAAACTCTAGTATCTCCAGTGTCCAGAGTCAGGGGTAAATAAACATGGAGAGACAGGGAGAGAGGGAGAGAGAGAGAGGGAGAGCGAGCGCAAGCAGGAGAGAGCTGGACTCTGCTGCAGAGCGGCCGTCTCCCCGTCCAGCACTGAGGAGCAGCGAAGAAACAGGCCTGGGGCACCGGGGCTTCCCCATAAACTCGGACCCCAAGGCAAGCACCCTGCAGGAACCCTGACTGTGTCCTCTAGGTCTTCTTCACCTTTATTCTGTGGTCCAGGGATCCATAGTCACGGTAAATACTATTCCCCAGGAGGACGGGAGGGAAGGGGCAGGGGGAAGGCGGGAGTAAGAAGCGGGTAGATGAAGGCGTCAGGGTGCCCAGTCGGCGGGCAAAGTGTCCGAGTGAATATGAATGAACTGTGGGGCTGGTCCAGGCCAGGGGAAGAGGAAACAGTCGACAAAAATGGAGAGACTACGATTCAGAACAGGGAAGGGTTTTTTGCAAAATGCCAAGAGCATCAGCGGATCTTTTCCCTCTTTTTCTTACTCTCTGGCGAGAGAGCAAAGGAACAGGGTACACGAGAGAGTTACAGCCAAGGCAAACGTCTCTGAAACAAAATCTTCCCATGCACAGATTTGTTTAAAAAGTGCCAACATATTGCTCTGATGAAGGGTCCATTTCTTATACATCCTGGTATCTAGGTAAGTCTTTGATGCATTTTGAGGTTATAACGGGTACCAACCATAGTTCTTGGCATCAGAGAATGGGCAAAGTGTTTTTGATAACCTGTGAGACCCCGGAGTTCTTAGATGGGATACTCCAAGACACCGAAGCTCTGCCTCCACCCCCGAACTTGGGTCCTTGGAAAATGCTCCCCTCCAGGGGGCACACGGCCTGAGCAAGACTGACAAGGAGAAATCCTGTCACTTTCGCTGAACCCCTTAGAACAGAGTTTTGTTCTGTGTGCCTGGGGTGGCAGACAAGGAGAGAGGGTGGCGGTGGCCATCCCTGTTGGGAATGCTTGCCTGAGAATCAGCACAGATGAAAGCAGGGCCAAAAGATCGGGGCGCAGGTGCTCGATGATAGCATCTGTGCACCTGAATCCAGCTTTGCCTGAAGCTGACGGACTTTACCATTATAGGGCCAACAGTCTTTTTTTTTTTTTTTTTAACCACCTCGTGTATGCCGGTTTAAATTATGTACACACTCAGCGACCTGGAGAGGATTTCAGGGACTAGGTCAGTCCCAGCTTCACTAGTCAGTTAAGAGCAATCATTCCTCGCCTTGAGAAGCTGTCGCTGGGCTCTTCAAGTCTGTCTCAGAGGCACTGAGTACGAGAGGAAGACAGGGAAAGAGAATGAAATGGGAGGAAGTGAGTCGCAAGGAGCTGGAGAGACGTAAGGAACACCCACCGATCCTTCGTCTTCTCTGTAAGAGTGAAGGAAAAATCCACGTGGGGAAAAGAGATGACAGTCACTTGAGATCTTAGACATTAAACATAAGTGTGTCCTAAAGCATAAGCTTACACTTCTACACTCACACATCCAGCGTGTGTGCGTGAGCAGGCAGAACACACGTTGGAATCACATTGGTTTTACACTCTTGCAAGGACGGGGGGAGCTGACGTACCTCGCTTATGTTCTTCTGGAAAGAAGAAAAGGTTCTTTCCAGAGGCCCAGAACCCAGCTTTCAGCTCCTGTGAGAAAGCTTCAGAGACGTTCATCCCGAGCCTGGTTTCAATAAAAGCGTTTCTCGCAAAGCAGACAAACAGATGATGTACCAAAGAGCTCACCTCTCCGTGAAAAACAACGTGTCAGAGTTTGAGGAAGATCAAAGGAATCGGCTAACTGCAAAGGACAGCGCCAGGGTGGTTAGGAGAGTTGAACATTTCCATCTCTTTCTTGCAGGAAAGATACCTTGGACTGGGTGTGTGATCTCTTCATAAAGAAAGACCTGAGACTGAGAACTTATTTCCAGGGGCAGCTCAGCCTGATGGTTAAAGAACTTAGACTGTGGTTCCGACGGGTCTCTTGACTCACGTATGAAATATGTGACCTTGTCAAGTGACTTCATATCTCTGTGTCTCATCTGAATTACAAAACAAGCAAGAAAATAACAGTGCCTTCTTCCAAGGGTGACCGTGAGGGTTCAAGGACATTATTTCTGGTAAGGTGCCTAACACCGCAGCTGGCGTGTGGTGGGTATTCAGCAAACATCCGTTGCTCTGTTGTATTTCCGTTATTACTAGAATGACTAGTTTACATTCCTAAATACCACTCACAAAACAAGGGATCATTCCAATGGTTGAACCTACCAATTCGAGTGCTCTGGAAAGACTTTTAAAAGTGGAAATGACAGGAGTTAACTTATCCTCAGAAGTATAAGAGTCTGGGCCAGAGAAGTTTCAAGAATGCTTATGATTTTTAAGGACCACGTATTCTTAGTCAAAGCAAACTGCTTCATCAGAGTTCTAACTATTTATTTAAAAACACATACATATGCAGTTTGTATTACAATACTCAGAACTTCTTTTTTTTTTAAGATTTTATTTATTTATTTTTTTAGAGAGGGAAGTGAGGGAGAAAGAGAGACAGAAAGAAACATCAATGTGCGGTTGCTGGGGGCCATGGCCTGCAACCCAGGCATGTACCCTGACTGGGAATCGAACCTGTGACACTTTGGTTCACAGCCCGCGCTCAATCCACTGAGCTATGCCAGCCAGGCAATATTCAGAACTTCCAAGGCAGGATTATTTCTCTTTTTTTCATGTGCCAAAGCTAACATTTTCACCCAGTACAGTTGTACGAACAGTACCCAGAATCCATGGGGGCTGCCCACGGGCCGAACGTTGCGATAAGCGCTATGTGTGACCAGGAGCATCCGATTCAGCTGTCGTGGCAAATCTGCACATTAGACACTGTCATTTCTCCCGTTTCACAGGTGGGGAACCTGGGGCTCCGGGAAGTCAAGTCACGTGTCTAACGCCATCCAGCTCATCAGTGGTGGAGTCAGGATTTGAACCGTGTTTACCCCATCACAAAGCCCAGACTCCTACCATGTTACAGAAGCAGCAAGAACAGGAGAGAGGGAGGGAGGAAAAGTGAATGAAGTAGACACTGTTTGGTTAATAGAATTAGATAAAAAACAAGCAACTACACATGGAGGAAAATCCTGTGGTTTCTCACATCTGGAAAATGTAAGTGATTTTTTTTGTTTTAAATAAAAATTTAATCATGCCATT